GTAAGGAGTTAGCCTAGGAGGTAGAGATGGGAGCCGTCAAGCAGGCAGTGCTGACAGACTTCCCACTGACTGAGAGAAGGCTCTTAGCCAGATTCCTCTTCATCCTCGAGACAGAGTTTTGCTATGCAGTTCAGGCTGGCCTTGAAGTCACTTTGTAGCCCAGCCTTGCCTTGAACATTGAATGATCCTTTTGCCTCAGTCTCCCAAATGCTGCGATTACAGCCTCCCAAATGCTGGGATTACAGCCATATGCCACCATGTGGGACCATATTTTAAACATTCTTTAACAAGTCTTTCTGGGGCCAGGGAGATGGCTCAGTAGAATAAGTGCTTGCCTGGCAAGAGCAAGGGCCAGAGTTCAATCCCTGGTTCCACAAAAAAAGAAAAAAGAAAGAAAGAAAAATTATTAACAAGTCTTTCTGACTCTAGTTTAAGTCTCCTGGAGGTCAGTGCCACGCTTTCAAATATCACACTTTCTAAAACACAAATCCAATCAGGTAACTCCTCAGTGACTCCTGCTTATAACTCCTCAGTGACTCCTGCTTACTCCCAAGTTTTTTGTTTTGTTTTTCTCACGAAAGGGCTAGGATGAGGCAAGAGAATGGCCTAGAATTTCTAAGGCTTCTACACTTCAGGAACTGTAGAGAACTTCAAATCACAAGGTCTAGGCACCTTGCTTGTTCCATTGGCCTTGGTTCCATTTGAATTTATTTTTCTTTTCTTAATCAAACAGCCTTTCCTCAAGCTAATCTGCAGCCCATTTTCCTGAAAGACACTTTGGCCTTTGTCTCTGTCTGTCTGTCTATCTGTCTGTCTGTCTCTCTGCCTGCCTGCCTGCCTGTCTGCCTGCCTGCCTCTGTCTCTGTCTCCCTGTCTCTCTGTCTCTCTGTGTCTGTCTGTGTCTGTCTGTCTCTGTCTCTGTCTCTGTCTCTGTCTGTCTCTCTCTCTCTGTCTCTCTGTCTCTCTCTCTCTCTCTCTCTCTCTCTCTCTCTCTCTCTCTCTCTCTCTGTCTCCCCCTTCTTGTCTCTCTTTGGAAGTCCCCTGAGATTGCCCTATAACTTGGAAATGAATTCTACTCTTCCTTTAAGGAATGTCAGAGGAAGATTTTTTTTTTTTTTTTTACTTTTTAGGTGGTGTGGGCTTTTCTTTGTATTATGTGCTTTTTTTTCTTCCAATTTCTTTTCTAAGTGGAAGTACATGTTTGCAATGCATGGTGATGGATGCTGACTTATGAGAAGTCAGTCCATGTATACAACACATCCCCTTTTCCTAACTCTGGATTCTCTTTCCTTTTGCAAAAGATCTAGCTCCTTATTTCCTATTATGTATTTTGCTCTTTATTTATATTTTGGGTTTCTTGTACAGGAGAAACTGTGTGATATTTAAGCTGACGTGTCTGGTTTATTTCACTTCACATTATGATCTCAAGGTGTGTCCAGTTTCCTAAAAATCAGATTATGTACTGTAACATGTTCTCCGGTGATGCTATTGCTAATCATACAATACCTTGTAATAAAAGTATTTTGTAATTTTTCTGTTTCATGTAACATCCTGTGGGGATTTTTTTGTGCATTTTAGTATTTTCTTTATGTTTTTAGTATATTCAGTTTTGTACAATGATCACCACAGTACAAGCAGAACCCCTTCAGCACCCCCAGAAGCGCTATGTCACTTGCATTTCCTCCACTCTCCCAGACCCAGGCAGCCACCAACTGACTTTCTGCATAGGGACTGGCTTTTTATGGATATTTCTTTTTTTTTTTATAAATTTTATTTACTTATGTGTGTGTGTGTGTGGCCAGCTCAGCCCACCAGGGGGCGGGGCTGGCTGGCATGTGGTGCTGGGGGATTGAACTGCGGTCCCTGTGCTTTGCTGAGCTTGTTCCAAGTAGGTGCTTTAGACCACTGAGCCATCTCACCAGCCCCTTTATGGATATTTCTTATGGATGGAACTAGACTGTGTGTAGTCTCTTATGACTTCTTTATTTAGCAGAGTGTTTTCAAGGGCTGCCCATATTATAATATTTTTCTGTACATGAGTCTTTTTATGGACAAGTGATGGATGTTTTCGTTATTTCTACTTTTTGGCTTTTAAGAATAATCCAGGTACCCATATTCAGGTAAAAGTTTGTGGGTTTTTTTTTTTTTTATGCATTTGACACAGAGTCTCACTAAGCAACTGGGACTCACAGAGATCCTCCTGTTTTCAGTCTTCCCTGTGCTGGAATTACAGGTGTGCACCACCATGCCCTGTCTCCATGGCTGGCTCAGTCTGCCCATGGATGGGGCTGGTGCAGCATGTGGTGCCGGGGATCTAACCTCAGTGCTTGTGCTTGTCTAAGCAGGTGCTTAGTCTACTGAACCATCTTAATGGCCCTTACAAGTTTTTGTGTTGATGTGTTTTAACTTCTCTTAGATTTTACTTGTGAGTGAGATTTCTGGGCCATGTGGTCGCTTTATGTTTATTTAAAACAATTGTTTTGGTACCAAACCTAGAACTTTGTATATACTATGCAAGTGCTATACAAGCGAGGTGTTAGTCTTGTTATTTATTTATGTACTCATTTTTTAGTTAGGCTGGCCTTGAACTCGGAGTTCTGCTTCATCTGCCTCCCCACCTCCCCAGCAGCTGAGATTATACCAAGTTATGTTTAACATCTTTGTGGACCTGAGTGTGTTTATTTTGAGCCAGGGTCTCACTATATAGTTCAGTCTGGACTTGAACTCACTTATGTAATCCAAGTTGGCCTGAACTCACAGTGATGCTCCTGCCTCAGGTTCCTAAGTGCTAGCATGACAGGCATGCATCACCACACCTGGCCCAAACCTGCTGTATTTAGATGCCTGTATGAATTAGTGTACTCTGCATAGGTTCTAAATTAGCATATGTACCATTAAATTCTGAATGTTTTGGTTGATTAAGTTCTGACCTGTAAATTGGTTTTGTAAAAACACTTACTTTGGCTGTATGATGAGAAGAAAGATACAATGAGGGAGGAAACAGCAGAAAGGAGATTGGGAAAATAAAAATGGGGCCATATTCTTCAACTCTTAAAGCATTCCATTTCAAAAAATATTTTCATGTAGAATTCATTTTGTGCGATTTTAGTCTTTATTCGCCAAGTAATATTATGTTGATATTACCATTCTGTCTCTTTTCCATTACTGTATAAATGGGAATTTTTTTTCAAAGTTTTATTGATAAACAGATAGCAATGAGACAGTTTCAAATCCAATCGGAAGTACAGTTTCAACAAATAATACACTGCATATATTCTTCTTAGTGGTTAATTGCTGTACAAGAAGTGGACTTGTGATCCTAT